ATCTAAAATTTCGTTTTTTTTGACGAAATTCGACTTTTTTGAGGGGGCCTTAATGGAAATTATCAAAAATTTCGGTCAAAAATGGAAGCCGAAGAAAAAACCAATAGTGTTTCTGAGAGAGCAGAAGACGGGCTATCTCCCCATGCATTTATCTCGATTTCGAAATTTTTGACGAAAACTGACTTTTTTGAGGGGGAGGGGGCCTTAATCGGGAAAAAAATATATATATCCTTTTCACTTCACAATTGCATTAAAAATGAATGAGATGGATTTGGGTGAATTAATTAGACAAAAGAGCAAAAGTATTCAAATTGGGAAACCTGAAGGAGTCGCTTATCGAAGTCAAACTTGGAAAACATTTTCTCTCATACGTTATGATACAGTTCTTCAAAATTTCGTTCAATGTGATAATTGTAAAAAGTTAATTCCATATCAGCCAAGTTCTGGCTCAAATCCTCTGTTGCGTCATATAACTAAATGCCTGAAACATGATACAATAACTGAGATGGTTCAAACAAAAATCATGGATTTTACTAGTCAAAAGATCTCACGAGCGATCAAGACAAAACTGACGTTGGCGGCTTCAGAATTATGTGTGACCGATATGCGGTCTTTCGAAATGGTAGCAGGTGATGGATTCAAACAATTTTGTTAAACATTGCTCGAGATTGGAGGAAGATCATACGGTAAATTGGATATCGACAAGTTATTGCCTCATCCTACTACAGTGAGTCGTACAGTTGACAAGATATATGAACAATGTAAACAAAAAATGATTTCATTGATTCAACGAACAACCGTTTTTTGCTGTAACTGTTGATTTCTGGACTGATCCGTTTAGTGGTTTATCATACGGTGGGGTATCGTATCATTTTATTGACAGCAACTGGAAATCCAACACATTTATTTTACGTGTAGGTATTGTTTTAACTAGCGGATATCCAAAAGTATCCAAAATGAAGTTTTTTAGTGTTCGGAATATTACCTTGATGATCAAACGACAGCTAATATAACTCAGTTTTTGAAAGATACACTTGCCGAGTACGGTGTACATGTTGATGTTGTCTATTATGTTGTATCTGATAATGAAAATACAATGAAGGCTGCATTTCATTCAAATCGAGTCGGATGTGCTGGGCATTATTTGAATATTATTATCAAACATTCATTCACAACGGACAACGAAGAGTGTGCTTCTGTGCAAGCAATTTTTGTTGACATTCGATCAATCGTGGCACATGTTCGTCGATCACACGCTCAGTGTAAATTATCATCGTCTCTAAAAACGTATTCTGAATCAAGATGGAACAGTGTATATTTTATGTTAAAATCCGTTGAAAATGTTCACGATGAATTACTGAAATTACTCGTTACCAAACCGGAATTGAGATTGAAATTAGCGGCAACGAACAATATTCTATTGCACCAAGTGAATGATTTGCTTAAATTTTTTTGTGATATGTCCGAGAAATTAAGCCAAGAAACATTTCAACATTGCATCTCGTAATTCCGTATCGAGAAAAATTATTATTATGTTGTGAAGAGGCAAACGTTGAAGATGAAATCGGTACGACAAGTTAAAAAACGTTTATTGGCAATGAAATAAAAACAGTTTGGAAAATTCAACTCGAACATTGTATAGCTACAATGCTTTGTCCCAAATTGAAAAGAATGGCGAAGTTTCCATCATACTATGATATTGCGTATCAGAGTATTTTGTGTGAATTAGAATATGTTGATTCACCGACTCGAGTTAAACGGAAGCAGTCAAATACCAATAGCGATATCAAACTGAAGAAAAAAACATTTGACAACTTTTCTACAAAGCTCGATGATTTGTATGATGTCGATGACAGCGTTGAAAGTGAGATAAATGATGGTACCAAAAAGGCTCCGGAGTAGGTCGAACTAGATTCATATTTACAACTTGTTGATGGAAAAGATGAAGGCGATGAATTTCACGTTCTCAATTACTGGAAATCGAAAGCTGATTGTTATCCGCTGTTGTCACGTTTAGCAAAGAAAATATTTTAGTGAGTTACCAATTAGTACGTCTCGTTTGACACATATAAAAAAACTGTCCTTTTGGTATTCCTGCTACAAATACGAGCGTCGGTTCAGTAATGCCGGTTTTACAATTAATAACTCCAGAAACAGCTACCCTGCACATGTCTAGTTAGGAGGTAATTCGTCACCAATTCATATTTACACCCCAGCTTGCCACTTTAATAACAATAACGCGTTCTTTTGTTTTATTAGGCTTTTATACGATAATTAGGAATTGTTTACATCTAAACTAATTAATTAGGTAATTTATTATTTCACTGTAAATCTTATTGATCTCTTTCTCTTTGTGTGAGATGAATAAACAACGTCTTTGCTGAATCGATGCACTTCAGATGCACACGATATCTGCACTATTAAACTGTTTATTCTGGTTGCATTCTAATAATATGTAAAAGTTTCTTTTTCTCAAGAAAACGAGATAATCCTTTCGAGATAAATACTGTCAGGACAGCGCTGTATGAAAGCCCTCTGAATCCTCTTCGTCAATCTTTTAGAAAAAAAGTTACGGTCGAAAAACATTAACAAATTTTTTCCATTCTGTTTTTCTTCATCTATACTTGATATAACAAAATAGAATTACTATAGATCCGTAGCACAGTGGTTTACAAAGATGTCACTCGTGTACAGCCTACGGACGGACATTTAGTTTGTAAACTATCACTCCAGGGAACAATAACAAATAACAACATCCCATAGGTGGCATTAATCAAAAATAGACCCTGTACTAATTTGCCGAAACTAATCCTTCATGGTAAAAGGTAAATTTCAATGTCTCTAACTTCACAACTCGTGCTTCCAGTAAACGTGTTAGCCTTGTGACCCAGTGTATCAATGTATCTTAAAGGAAAACCAATGTAACTACAGTTCATCATACCCTCCTTTTCGCCAGCGACTAAAATATCAGCAAATGAAACTTCTTTTATTATGGGCAAGGACAGTGAAATCATTTTGTTGTTAAAACAAGTAGAAGGAAGACTATTAGGTGAGTGTGGAGAAGAGAAGATGTGAGTAAAAGGATGACGTTGTAAGTGAATTGGTCTTATCATCAAATGAAAGTTCTTTTATTATGGGCAAGGAGAGTGAAATCATTTTGTTGTTAAATCAAGTAGAAGGAAGACTATTAGGTGAGTGTGGAGGAAAAAAGATTTGAGTAAAAGGATGACGTTGTAAGTGAATTGGTCTTATCATTACGATAATAATAACGATAAAATGAAAGTTCTTTTATTATGGGCAAGGAGAGTGAAATCATTTTGTTGTTAAAACAAGTAGAAGGAAGACTATTAGGTGAGTGTAGAGAAGAAAAGATGTGAGTAAAAGGATGAGGTTGTAATTGAATTGGTCTTACCAAATATGGCTTTGCCGTCGCATCTACGATGAAAATTGCTGGCAGCAAAGCCATCTCTTGTAGCTTTGTAAATTAACTCCCATTGTTGATGTGGTGTTCCGTGAAACTCATTCAGTTTGGATTGGTGTTCTTTGTCATCTAATAGTGTTCCACCTATGAATAGCTGATTTTGTTGGACATGTGTTGTCGCGTTCAGCGTTATGTGTAAAATATCATCAAAATCGATGGTTCGAGCTTTAACCGTCACTGTATTCGTCGTGTCCTTATGTTCATAATCAAGTTTCACTTGCTCAAGTGTTTTACTTAATCTTTCAATGTCCTGTTCGAAAAAGTGACTAGATTCTTTTCTTTGGCGAAGTTCAGCCGACAATTGATCATATTTCTGTTTTACTTTAAGTCTCTTCTCATCGAGCACATCTCGCACCTGTCGTCGAGCTTGATCAGCAATCATGTTTATCTTCTCGATAGTTTTTCTTTCCCATTTTGTGATATAATCAAATGCTTGGGGATCAGTGGAAGAAATTTCGGAACATATTTGTTGATAGAGTAAATCCCGATCACTTAATACACGTTGGAAGTCACCTTCTAATTCTTGTCGATGTTCAATCATGTGATCTTGACAGAAGTTCCGCTGACAGCCTTTACATGGGAGAATTCCTGACATTTTGCACGGTTTAATTGACTGGCATTTACTGCTGGATGGCGAAGAAGAAGTGGCCATTTTAGCAGTAGTGAATTGCTAAAATGAAAATTTCAAAACAATATCTCTGTGTTAAATGAAGAAAGTTATTGTATTCTAAACTATTCGTTCAAGTGAAGGTATCACCTTCGATTACTTTGAAAAGATCTAATTCCTTACAGTATTTGATGTTTACACTTATTGAAAGTATCGTCACTTTTACTCATGTTAGTAATCGAAAAGTAATCAGGTGATCGATTTTTCAAAGTTTAGAAATGTTCACTTCTCGGATTATTCCGACTCTTCTAATAGAGGTAAACTACTATATTAGTATGTATTTGTTCAATGTTGCTCTATTATATTCGTTAATATAGTATAAGCAGCAGCATCTATTAGTACAATACCAGCATAGTAGAATAATATTCACTTCCATCCTGACCAGCGCCATCACCCTTACCCAGACCATCTCCTTTTCCTTATTCATATACTTATTATGAACGCTTAATTAATTAAATGGCTTTCGAAAGCTGATCCTTCGTGTACGTTTGAGACTGTTTTCTAACATAATTACGAACTATTAGGAATTAATTCTGTCTAATATGCAATAAGCTTACAGTCTATTTTCAATGAAACTAGCATACAAGGTCGAGATAATAGACGGAAAGAGATCCAATGTGTACGTATAGAATTATTAAATAATGTTTCATTTCACCATCATATTGAGGGGAATACAACTGAATACAACTCTACACAAGAAATAAGCGCGGCTACAATGTATCCAAAAAACACAACTGTATTCGTCAACGAAGACGACGTCCACATTCAACAAGTCTCACGCTAATTTCGGACGGTACAAAGCCCTATCGAGTAATACGCAGCAGTCTTCCGCCATTGCATTAAAAGCGCAATATTTGTTTTTCTCTTACATTAAACTTGTTCGTTATGCTCTTTCTAATATATTTGTGAAACGAAAATTCATTGATGTTCTTAATTAGCCCAGATAATTGTCATTTGAATTAAGCTCTAATTCACCGTTCATTTCAGTGAGATCGCCAAATTGCCCCATGATTTCTGGGGCGTTTGCCAATTTGCCCCACATGGGGTAAATTGGCAAAAAGTTTTTTTTCAAGTGCACTGATCAATTTATCGGAGCTCAGGTAATTTTAATAGGGGAATTTTGAGATTGATTTCAGGTTGTAGGGAAGAGAATGACAGATTGATATAAGTAAAATAACTGTATACTTATCACTAATTATCATTAACATAATTGCATTTTACTTCTCCCATTCAAATGTACACGTAATTGCCGAATGGTCTCAGCGGTGCACACTTACTTTGCCAAATTGCCCCGTGTGGGGCAAGCTGGCAAAGTGTGCGGGGCAAATAGGTAAACGTCTTGGAGGTAGCCCGTTTTTGAGGATTTTGAAAAGATTTTTACAGGAATCAATAGAGGAAAGTCTAGCTCATATGTCTGCAAAAATTAAAAGCATTACGATTAAAATACTGCAAGGTGGTAGAATTTCGTGCCAATTTACCCCACTCCACTCTAGTAAGCATAGAATACTAGAACAGTACACCACTATTTAGACTTTTAAAAATTATGAAAAAGAAAGAGAAAACGCGAGTAGATCCGACTAGGGTTCGAACCTGATACGTACTTCGTCATGTTAACCATTCACTAAACCATTGACCTACGCTGGACGGTGTCTTGACATCGATAATAAATATATGAATAAGGAAAAGGAGATGGTCTGGGTAAGGGTGATGGCGCTGGTCAGGATGGAAGTGAATATTATTCTACTATGCTGGTATTGTACTAATAGATGCTGCTGCTTATACTATATTAACGAATATAATAGAGCAACATTGAACAAATACATACTAATATAGTAGTTTACCTCTATTAGAAGAGTCGGAATAATCCGAGAAGTGAACATTTCTAAACTTTGAAAAATCGATCACCTGATTACTTTTCGATTACTAACATGAGTAAAAGTGACGATATTTTCAATAAGTAAAATTTGTTCTTCAGTTTTAAGTGTTGAAGAAAAGAGAACTGAACTGAAGCACGCATAATGCATCACCTTGGAGAAAATTCCAACAGGTAAAAATAATAAACGAACAAACTATTTTCGAGTGTAGGTGAATAAATACCTTTCAATAACTGGATCTGAGTTTGGCAAACTTATGCGACTAAACTGCATGGTCTAACAATTCCAAAACAGAAAAACAAAAGAATTCTAACTTATTATCGTAGTTCATTAGACAAAATGTTTGTGAAACATTGCTTTTTTATTGTAAAAGCCTCAGAACTCCTTTAAAACAAAATGTTTATTTAATCAAAATTACAATTTTCGAACGCTTTAGAAAAAACATTCTTTTGTTTGATAAGCAGACCAAAAAAACGTTTTTAGTAAGCTCTGAGTTTTTAATAAAATTTCTTGTAAAACCTCTTCGTGCTACATCTAAGTTTTGTGAAAAGCTTAAAAGTCACCAAAACTTTGACTGAAAAGTCCAGCATTACTTTTAAAGCTATCGTCACACAGCTTTCTTTTAAAATAACAAAACAAAGATGTACATATCCGATACACGGAGTTTTGCAGAGCAGAAAATTTTATATTTTTAGAGCTAAGAAGGGAGTCTTCACACTTTAGGTAGATGCGTCAATTTTTCCTATAGAATGATTTAGCCTAACTCTTGACGGTCTTTAGCTACTATCACTACCAATACGCAATCTAAAAATACATGAGGAATGTAATGTGTAAATATACTTGCTTTTTTTCAGAATCTATAATTACACAGATATTATCGAAGGTCGATGTGAGGATTTAACTATGACATTGAAACATTTAATAATAGCCGCAGAAATGAATTCAAACATATAAGAAACGATAATTCTAATTGGATGAGCTTGCAATATTGTTAGATAATATTGTTCATGCATATTATCTAAAAGATGATATAAAAAAGGGACAAAAACATTTTGAACAATCAAGAGAAATGAATTGTCCAAGAATTCAACCCAAATGACTAATGAGCGAGATTAATGTTAGAGTGTATAGCACAGATGACCATGCACAAAATATTGAACAAATAATAAATGTCTTATATATAATAATAATAATGTCAGTACAGCTCTACAGCTCTACGTAGAGCTGTACTAACACCGGTATGATATTTCTAGCGGATCGGATCGGTAGATCTAAAATCTCTTTCTAAAGCTGGGCAGTTTTATCAATCGGCATAAAAATATTTCTCACGTGCATGCAAAATGACTTTTAGATGAAAAAATTTACTTTATTTTATATCCTCTCATTACCGTGTTTATATTTGTAGCAGCCAAATGTCGAATTTGCCTAGCTAAACTTTAAATTTGCATTTTAGTGAAAAAAATGTTCAACCAAATTTCGGATTTGACTCCCAATAGATAGTCATTCGAAGTTCAAATTAAGATTAGAAAATTATTTTGATTTTAATATTGGCTAGTCAATATTGAAATTTTGTGATAACATACGTTTTTAGACGAATTAAAAACGAATTTTGCGAAAAGTTAATAAACGAAGTATGTCGAGTTTAATAATAGAAGTTAAATCAGATTTTTACAATCTCAGGTTGTAGGAAGTTTCTAGGAAACTTTCGTGTTGGTACAGTTTTCTGTGTGAAACGATTGTTAAGTTTAGTATCCGGTATCTGCGGCACTGTGGAACATTTTTCGAAAACTTTCGAGTTCTAATGGTAACATTAGAACGATTGCTTCTCAGTGATGTTCATCACTGCTTGTTAGTTTTTGTCTGACGTAAACAAAAGACTGACGTGATTTTGTTTTTTCGTGTAAATTTCAAAAGCATAAACAAAACAGATTTTTATTTTCACCTAATAACATCTATAATTTTAAGAAGAGTTTCGAAGAAAATTGAGTTATGCATTCAACAAGTAATGAGCCATACATGTGTATTTATAAACACAGTAATCAGTTACGATTTATTCTTCATTCACGAAGGAGCTTGTCTCTTTTCGAATACCTAAAACTTATGAGCCTTCAACAAAGAAAAGCTACTCTTCTCAAAATCTAGTGAGGTCCAAGCTTATCGAGTCTTGTGTCTCCGGCGCCTATCTACGTGAAAGCATGATCTAAATAATATAGAATTGGATCAACTAATGAAGCTTTTTTCTTAAATGTATGAGCAGTAACGTGCGTGGGAGACATCTTTCAACTTCTTTTCCTTTCCTTGCATATCCACCAATAAGAGAATACACTTCAAACTTTGCCTTATCGACTTATTTACTCTGTGAAAATTATTTTCCGTAGTTCACCCGAGATAGGAAATCGCTTCATCAACAGTATTAAGTCCGTTATATTACTCGACTTTTGACATAGTTTCAGTTTTAGGTAAACTTAAATACATGGTTTTAAACTGTTGCTTATAATCCAGACTTCAGTTTGCTTACACTTAAATGTATCCATCTTAAACTTAAGTTAAGCTCATGGTATTAGGATGAGGTGAGGGTGAGAGAGAAATCGCGGCCTCAGGTGATGCATAAATGCATTGAGAGCCAATATGAACTAAGATAAAGTATTAGGTTCAAGTGTGATCGAGTGATGAATCGGTATAATCAATGGTTTGGTACAAGTAGGTTGAAATAAATAAATATACAAAGTTAAAGAAAGCGTCAGTCACATTTTTTTATGTATAGTCAAGTATTTATTTATAGAACTGCATGCAGGAATAGTTGAAATGGCAGAAAATAATACAAATCGATGAAGTTTGAGAAATAGCCAAAGGATATAAGGAGACAATCTCCTTAAAATTCAGTAAAAAAATTAACGAAGAGAAAAAGCTACAGAGTTGGCAACATAAACGACCAGTTATTCCGGACGTTCTGCAAATGGATGGAAAAGATATGAAGAACTTTTTTTATGCTGCAGTTTTAGAGATTCAGGCTATAATATCATCGTCAAACCCATCCAGTAAAAGTTTAAAAACTATACCTTCACCATCGAGCAACATGTTTCCTTACAATATTCTGCAGCAGCATAAATGACAAAATAATTTATGACATGTCTTTTCGGACAAAACTGTAGTTTGCCTGCTGATAGATCGAGCCATTCCAATCATAATTTCAAATAAACTATCAGTGCCACATAGACGCTTTTATAAACATCTGTTATAACGTCTTTAGATAACTGTTTTTAGATTTATCATAGATCCTAAGACCTACAAAACCAACGAATATCTACTATCATTCACATCTAACAATGCAAAGATAATTTCAAACGTTATGACGATATCAATGTTAAGAGGCAAAAATAGCTAAGCGATAGTAGTACATCATTATGTATGAATGTCCTTGAAAACAAACAAATACTTACACTCAACTACAGTACCATTACTCAACTCGTGTGGATTTGTTGATTGATTAAAAATAAAAGTACTATGAGAAGCATCAAGCCATTTAGCGCCAGTATTTCTAATAATTGTATCAGCATCATTTATTTATATATTTTAATATATAGAATGAAAGTTTCTCGATTTGCATATCTAACTTCATTGACATCCGGTCGTTTTAATGATATTTATGTATACCATCCATCGATCACTGTAACTGTTCTTAAAAAAATCTGTAATATTCATGTGATTATTGTTTGGTGAGATCGATCTCATTGTTATTTGTTGACAAATTGACAAAATTTTCAGCTCGTTTGAAAAAATGTATGTAAAATATGATGTAAAAATTTGACGGAATGCTGTCTTGCTTATATCATGTATAGTTCAGTCAAGATTAAAAAATTAATTCGAACATATAAAAACTGTAATGTAATAAATAGTTGATAGAGAACTTAAATTGAATATCTACAAACTGTTGCCTATTAAATACTTGAACAACATGCAAAACTCATAAATAATGTGTCGAGGAAAATGGTAAAGTATTACAACTGAATCGTCTACAATCATGTCTAATGAATTTTGTCTGTGAGTAAAAATCTACTACTGATGAAGTGCTCCTGCCAAATACTATTGATTAAACAAACGCCATGTTGTCTACTTTGTTTATTTTAGATTAAAGCACAAATTATTAACCTTAAATTATCATTAAAAGTAGTTTTATACTAATTAAATCAGCAAAATTCATTTACTGTCTACTTTATTTACAAGATTTATATTTAAGACTATTTGCTTGTTGTCTTAAGTTAAGTCATAACTTCAAACCTGTGTTAGCAGTAGCGAATCCAGAATTTTTCTTTGACACGTGCGATATATTATAAAAGTGTGAAATAGGTGCAGTCGTCGTAGAAACAAATTATCCACAGACAGTTCTGCTGTAAAAAAAATAGGTATTATGCTATTAAAGAACATGCGATTGTACGTCTCGCACGATGGCTGAATCTATCATTGTCTCTTAGTCAAAATACTAGCTTAAGAATAATGATGAGACACTGAAAATAAGTCACCCCCTAGTCAAGTTAGAATTGTCATACTTAAATTTCAGCTCGGTTGAGAAAATTACTCTCAATTATTGACGAAACAACACGTAGAAGACCCAAAAGTATAAGTACCTCATTTCTCTTTCGTTCCTTGAACTACAGCTACTGCACGCACTTTACATGACTAGAAAATCTTTCTTTGCGTCTTGTAGCTTAATCTCATATGCTTAGTTGTATCTTGCTTAGTTAGGAAAATGAAAAACGTTTCTTAGTTAGATAACATGACTTAGTTTCTGTTAGAATTCGAAAATTAAACAGTATGTCATGATATTTTGTTTTGCTTTAGATATAAATGCAGCAGAATCCATCGATAAGCACAAACGATATTACAAATTTATTAGAGACATTTTCTCGTGCACAATACAGTGCCAAAGGTCTCGATACCACAGTACGTAAATGAGATATCTGAGTTATTTTAGATAAATAGATTGATTTCGCTTTTTAGAATGCTACTATTGAATTATTATGTACAAATTTATTTGAAAGAGATTTTACCTGTCAGGTAACTTGTTATATTTTTTTTTCCCATTGTCTTTCTTACCAATACATCGATCTCTTCATCTAATTCTAGTCCATATTGAATAATAATGGTGAATTATCTTTGTATTATCCACGTCGTATTCTAATTCCAGTTGCAGATAAATGGCACGTAAAATCAAAACCAAAATTGTAAGAAATAAACTTTTTCTCTTTCATCTATCAACAGCTCGTTTTTTCAATATTTAGACCATCAAATGTTGATATACGTGATTTATTTTTCCGTTCACGTTTTGCTAGATGTCGATCGAGATTCGTTGCACCAGCTATCCTCATAGATAATAAAGTAAGTAAGTACGTAATATGAGCATTTCTTTCACCAGTTATTCTAATTCTAATTACCTCCTAGTTCTCTTGTTTTTCTCCTGTATATTATGCATTGTAGTTAATATATCTATTTGGTCTGTGTAAATGTCAAAGGATACAGTGAATTCTCTAATTTATTTTAAGTGAATTTTAGCGAATAACTTTTTCTAATTTTAGTTTATATGTCGTTCAGCCACACTTGCTAGCTGGGGAGAAGGTAAAATAGTTTTTAAAATTATTCTATCTATCAATTTTGTTTCTTTAATTAGTTTATAGTAGAACGGGAATGGATAGAGTGTTTGATGGAAGTCGTACATTGAATCAATTTGAATCGTGTGTTGTTGATGCACCTTCCACAGCTCAAGCTCCTGCACAATCACCCGCTATAGATCTGGATTTTGAGCCAAATATGGCTTTTGTACAAAATGTTAATGTAGCCAATGAAACTGTACCTCAACAAAAGTAAAATATCTTTTTAAGTATTATTTCTATCATTTTCAATGGATTTTTTTACGCTTAGTGTTAAAAATATTTTTGATAAATTACGCGGTGCTGATATCGATTTAATGAGATTACTCGATATTGGCTTTGTTTTGAATTTGATGGTGGAAAAGAAAAAAACGCTGTTTGGAGTCAAGTAAGTATCTATCTTTAGTAGTCAATATATTTTCTCGATAGTGATTGATTCAATTTTCTTTTGTAGTATAACCTCATCAGAAAAATTTGATAAAGAAAATCGCTA